GGGGGGGGGGGGGGGGGGGGCTTCCCGGATTATGGAGTTTAGAGGTGTGACCGCTTTCTTGTTGTGCCAAGTCGCAAGAGGTCTACGATTCCCGAGATATACACGGCGCCGCAGACATCATAGTTAATCTGGTTGGCATACACACATGCATACGTGCATACGTACAAGTATGCACATATGAGATAATTACGAGAGAACGCCGAGATGACGCTAAAAGCATCAGCTCTTGAGCCTGAAGAAGCCGGAAGCGCATACATTGTATTAAAATTATAAATTTCACTGATAGAGGCGTATGGTTCTTCGTAGATGTATTCATGTTCTCACTAGTAGTAGACATACGTAGGGGAGCTTGTATCGCTCGTATCTGCCCGCTGCGGCAGGTTGTGCTGGTTGGTGCCTCAGGTCAAAAGTCTCAGAACGTCCCGAAGCGAATCAGGCTACGCAGCGCCGGACAGTTCGCTTCGGTCGTTTGTGGTTAGTTGTTTCGTTGTGCATCCGTAAAAGCGCTCCAGATCCGACAGCCCCTGCGCATGGTGTGGTCGCATGGCAGTCAGGTCGTGCTCAACTGCGGTGACGCAGACCTGGCGACTTGGCAGCTGATGGGTTGGCAGCAAGCTTGCAGTCATCTTCTAGATCAGTTGCGGCATGTTGGTGGGAAAGGAGTTCAAGCTCAAATACGCAGCTTCGGCGCAGAAGTTTGTCATTCCGGCTCATGCCATTCAGACATATCGCTTTGACGAGTCTTGGCTGCAAAGACGTGAGAGCTGCTGACTGCGTTCGGCCATGGCATTGTAAAGCCTCAACTTCACCCTCAATCCCAATCCCACCAGGCCGATGTCAGCAAGGTATCCATGTGAGTACTGACCGGCGGCAGGAAGAGCATTAAATTCCGTGTCTTGTGCGCTTGGCGCAGACACCTTAGCTGAAAGGGAAGTCGAGGATAGTTTTCTTCGAGTCTGCAGCTGAAGTCTGGCTGTCGGCAAGAAGCAACATGCCCAGGCTGGGAGGTTTACAACCAAACCTGCTCAGCGTGCGCATTGCACTTCCAATTCAGCGTGTCAGACGTGTCATCCAGTTCCATGGCGTGGTCAGACATCTCATCCTAATCACACGTTGCAGGTCCAGCTCGTATCAGTGAAGATAGTGTAGCTGGCGCTTTTCACACAATCACAAAAAGGTGTGCAGATGACACGAGAGATGCAATTATTATTGCATGTTTACTGCTGTGCTCACCGCACGTGCCTTTCCTTTCGCGACGTGCCGAAAATTACGGGAGTATGCTACAGGGTGCCGATGGGTGACCGTACCGTCGTTTCAGCCGAACCCTCAGAGACTCCATGCAGCAATCACGAAAAGCTTCGTCCTCAAGTCCCGTCTCGTTTTCCTGTCTCCACAATGGCACTCAGCTCTGCTTTCGCTAGATTCCAAGACGTCAGACCTGACTCTCGCCGAGTTTAACATGCTTTGAGACGTTAGAATCTGCTAGATGGCCATGCAGAGGTTAGAAGGCATGTCTGAAGGCGCATTGGATCGGCATTGTGCAAAGGCCCGGCAGTAGCGAGACGGGATTCTTCATGGAGTGGGGCAGTTTGCCCATCAGCCGTCAAGCGAACCTTGAAGCCCGAAAAATGGCCGATCGGAGCAGCCAACATGCTGAAGATTACTTTCTTTGGCAATCGGAGAAGTAAAGTTTAGGCGGCCTTGCTCGTCCAAGGTCGGAGATCCGCGGTGGGACAAGCACTGCGGAAGTCGACGCTGGAAACCGTGAACGGACCCGTAGTACAGGAAATCAGCAGACCGTAGTCGCAGCTCGCTGTAGTGAGTTTACCAGTCATTCGCCTGTATTTCTGTTGTATGGTGCAGCTCCCAGTGCGCAGTTGCTTCGTGATCGCTGTGTAGCGATGCCACAGGTAAGGCTTGAGTTCCGTTCAGAGCTATACCCTTCAGTTCCTCTGGTTTTGCAAAAGTTTGGCACGTGTTGTTGGCCATTCAGCTGCTGGTAGTACAGCACGCAGCCAGCTCGCTTCTCCAGAGATGAAAAAGCTCGCGTCAACATGTTGCTAGCACTTGCCTTCAATTTCCGGCTTCCTTAGGTGAGCCAGCATTCAAACATATTGAAACCTCTGCGCGCACTGGCAAAACTCGTGCTGCAGAACTGTATAATTGTCAGCAGCATTGCCCGAATGACTCTTCGGAAGCTCGAGCTCATGAACGTCCACTACACCACCCTCATCCTTAAGTATTGTCTGAGTGTGAGCGCCGAACAAACAAATTGAACTCCCTGGGCCCTAATCCGTACACCCTAAATCACACAAAAGGATTCACAAAACTACCATTTACAACGGAAACCGAATGAGCTTGTGTGGTCTGCATGCTACTGCTGCCAAGAATTGTCCACGACATGTGGATGGACGGAACCTACAAGAGCCTCTCTTTCAGAGACTGACGAGTGACGAGTCGTAAACGGGAGCCGCGTACAGGCGGGCCCTATACAACTCAGTGTGAGTAGTGGAAGTAAGTGCTCTCAGTTATGATATGTTATGCTTATAATTCTTCTCTCGAATTCCCGACATGTACCCTGCATCGTACAGGTTGGCAAGGCGACACCCAACTTTCTCAACAAGTTCACGAAGAGACCACCACAATACATGTTGAGTTCATGCCAGTTTAATGCCCTACACTTGAGAGGCACAGAACCAACAGCTCCGTGAGCAGCTGTCGCGCCTGGGGCAGCTTCCGAGCAATCTACAGGGCTCGCGCCCCAAAGTGGTGGCAAGATAGCGGATCTTTCTACGGGAATATGGCGAATCTCAATTATTGTTATCGCCGAAGCATGGCATTTTCGCGAGCAACTAGGTAAGAATGATATGTCACAGATCGCCACGCCGTAGCGCAGACATTTGTGACTCAGAGCAAGGCAAAGTGTGGGTTCATCGGGGTGTAGCACCTGCTCATACATACACACATATGTATCTGTCTGTATATATGTACACATATTTCTATATACAATATTATATATATATATACACATATGTGTGTATGTTTATCCTATTGGATGATGTATACATGGGCGAGGGAGCCGAGCTTTTCGATTTCTGCTTTTTCTTGGCGTGTACTGCTCGACCATGTTCACTCAGGAAGCCTGGCCGCAGCCAGGAAGACAGGACCGGCGCAGGCCTGGTCAGCAGTCAGGCTGTAGATTACACGAGCTGTTTTGGCACCTAGCAGTCTGCAGCATAAAAAAAAAACGCAAAGCCACAACAGGAAAATTGCTGTCATTGAGGGGCAAGGTAGTGCATCACAAATGCTCAGAAGGAAAGCAATCCGCTCAAGCTAGTGATGGTTTTATTGTGGTGGCGTCGGGCACCTTGAAAGCTTGAAAAGTAGCCAGCAAGTGTAGCACTTGTTGACAGCAGTCGTGGCAATACTCACGGTACAACCAGCAGCCATAGGCCACAGGACATGTCATAGTGGGAACGGTCCTGGTTCTACGGCTTATGCTCCGCAGGCCATGACATCCATCATATTTGGAATTACATATTCTGAATGATCTTGAATAATTTGGAAATCGGCGGCGCCTCTGTGGGGCAGGGCCGCTAGGTCACGAAACCCTGAACACAAACTCACAAACCCTGAGCTCTCCCTGTTGCCTGAATCCCTGCCTGCCTTGAGCGAGTGTGCGAGTCGAAACCCTAAATCCTACCGTCCCTTAGTCCGACTCGTGGAAGTGCAGTGCTTGCTACAGAACAAGTCCTGCTTGAGACCTCAATAGCGCAGCCATTCCCCGGCGCAGCCTTCTGACATCTCAAGGAAGCATCATTGCAAACCCTTCCCTGCCTTCCTGGCATGAGTCATGCGCCATCTCCGTTCGTTGGTTTGCTGGATGTAAGACCTTCCCAGCCCTCGGAACCTGGGCTGTCCAGGGACCCAGTTCCGCAGCATGACATGCGGAAAAGCGAAGATGCAGCCAGACATGAAGCAAATGATGCTCAAGAAGGTCAAGGTGTGTCGGCTGCCTTCCAGTCGCTTCTGGATCAAATCTCACAACAACACCGAGCAGAAATCCTGGACCTAGAGAAGCAAATAAGCAGTTTGCAAGGGATGCTGGTCCAGCTGAACACAGGTACCACTGAGAAGTTTGAAGAGCCGCTCATGGTATCTGATGGTGCTTGGCAGGCGACAGTCCAAATGAAGAGTGCTGGCAATACTGAGGGAGGCTCGCACTGCACAAGGTTGCGGAAACAGCACCAAGGCAAACGAGAGATGCAGGCTTCTCAACTTCTGGATGCCTTGAACGAAAGGATGGAGAGTGACAGTGCAGATGGCTCGTTTCAAGGTGATCCCTTGAACCCTGACGCGATATCCGACAACGGCTCAAATGATGCGCAGACTTCGTCCGATAGATGGAAAATGCGGCTGCAGTCAACGGCGTTCGAAGTCAGCATAGCTGCGACACTTTGTTTGAATGTTATGTGGATGGCGGTCGAACTGCAAATCTACGGGTCCATGGTTGGGCATTCTTTGGGGATTGTCGCCCATCCCTTGGTGCAGGAGGATCACAGAGCCTCAGTGGACAAGGTCTTCATGCTGGGCGACATCCTTTTTACCTCCTTTTTTGCCCTGGAGGTCGGCTTGCGCATGGTCGTGTTCAGGCTGGACTTTTGGAAGGTGTGGAGCAACTACATAGACGCGGCAGTGAGTGTGGCTTCGGCTGTACAAGTTGCTTTATTCTATATGCAGACGTTGCCAGTCAACTTAGCCTTGTTGCGCCTGCTGCGGATTGGCAAGCTGGCACGTCCTATTCGCATGATAACTATGTCAAGCGTAATGGCGTCCCTGCAGTTGTTAATCAAATGTGTCGCAGGCAGCGTGAACATGTTGTTCTGGAGCATGTGCCTACTCTTCTTCTTGCAATGTGTCGCCGGGATGATTGTGAGCACGATATGTCGGGACTACATTGAGAGCCCAGCGCATTCCCCCGAGCTTCGACAGGAGGTCTTCCAGTACTTTGGCACTTTCTCAAGGACTATGCTGACAATGTTTGAAATACTATTCGCGAATTGGGGGCCACCAGCTAGGGTTCTTGTCGAAGACGTCAGCGAGTGGTTTTCGGTGTTCTTTCTTCTGTACCGCTGCGTATTTTGTTTCTCTATTCTGAACGTGGTGAATGCTGTTTTTGTGCAGCAGACATTGAAGACTGCGAACTCTGACGAAGAAATCGCTTTCAAGCAGAAAGAACGGGAGTTGGCCGTTTATGGCAGACGCGTCAAGACTCTGTTTCAGACGGTGGATGAGTCGGGCGATGGGTCCATAAGCTATGATGAGTTTTCCAAGTTGGTCCAGTCCCCGAAGCTGAAGTTTTGGATGAGCCAACTAGAGCTGGAGTATCATGATTTGTTGTCGCTCTTCGAATTCTTGGATAATGGCGACGGCAATATCACTCTCACAGAGTTTATTGAGGGCGCACAACGTCTCAAAGGCAATGCCAAGGCCTTAGATATCTGGCGCATAGAGACCAAGCTCGAAGTCCTCGTCCAGGAGGTCCTGCATGCATTATCAGGTGAGCAAGTCGCCTCGGTTCAGAATGTCTTTGACAATTCATCGTTCAAGCGAATTCAGACGACGAGAGTGGGCAGGGGATCAGGGTATTGAGAACCCACTGTGGACTGAAAGTTCTTCTTCTGCTACTCTACCTGCAGCAAAGCTGTCGGATGGAATACGTAGTGTCTCGCGTTAATCTTGACTGTATTTAGGGTTGGCAGCGCTCCGGGAAGGATGGCAAAGGTCATGAGCCCTGAGGGCACGCAACCCTCGTCCCTGTGGCTGTGGGAAGTCTTGTCAAAGTTCCATTGCCATGAGCACCCCCTTCCGCAACATTGCAAGGAGGGTGGGCCGCTGAATTCATTCCAGGATATTTTGGCTGATCTTCAAGGAGTCGGCCCGTGGCCTGCAGGCAGCCTGGTAGTCTGTGAGAAGTCCGAAAAAGGCTTCAGTGAAATTTCGGACTTAATACTGCTTGCCCGCCTGGATAGCATACTATATGATTATCTCAGTATTCTTTATTGCAAGACCGTATCGTATGCTACATTACACTACACTATAGTAAAGTGTAGTATAGTCTAGCATAGCACAGTATAGTATAGTGTAGCATCTCCTAGTAAATGATTGCATCTTTGAGTATCTTATATCATATTGCAGTATATGACACTCCAGTATAGTAATTGTTTTATATCAGACCCTAAACCCTAAACCCTAAACCTAGTACTTGTTTTATATCAGGAGGCACGCCAGATCCTATCGGCCCGGTTCCTGCAAATGCTCCTGACACCAGGCCCTGTCATCGCGCACCCCGAGCGTCCAAGCCGTGCAGGATGCCAGGCGCAGTGTATACATATATATATATATATATAAATACGTACATACACACATACATACATATTAGTATATCTATCTATCTATCTATCT